ATATGAGCTGAGTTTAGTCTGCGTCAATCTACATAATCTGCAATATACAAAGGTTGCCTTTTATGTTTCGGGATTTGGCCACCCTGGTGTTGCAATCCGGCAACTGACAGATCTATTATAAAGTTGGATGTTTTGAGGTTATACGTACTCAGAACGTTTTGACATACGAGCGCTATTTGTGTTGTTTACAGTAACTTAAAAGATTAATCTTGGCCCAAAAATGGAATTAAATCGTGAACATTTTTGTGCGATTATTTTTTTACAACTTTCGACGTGAATTAACTCAGAAACAGTGCATGGATGAACTTAATTCAGTTTTTGGCGATGAAGCTCCATCAAGGACCAGTGTTGATCGATGGTATGGTGAATTCAATCGTGGTCGTAGTTCACTCCAAGACGAATTTCGCGGAGGTCGTCCAAAGCAGTTGTTTCGAAAACCATAGATGCTGTGCGTGAACTGATATTGCAAGATCGTCATGAGACCTATCGTGAGATTGAGACAACCTTAGGCATTAGTGGGACCAGCATACATTCAATATCGCATGAACATTTGACTGTCAAAAAAATTTGTTCGCGTTGGATCCCACACAATTTGTCAATCGCTCATTTACAAAAGGCTCGTGTCGATTGGTCGAAAGAAACGAACAAAAATATGATCGCGGTGCTTCGATACACGTCTAAGACATCGTGACAGGTGATGAATCGTGGATTTACGCGTATGAGCCCGAAAGTGTACAGCAGTCGACTGTATGGGTGTTTCAAGATGAGCAAAATCCAACAAAAGTTGTTCGCGCACGAAGCACTTCCAAACAGATGGTCGCCTGTTTTTTCGGGAAAACTGGACATGTGGCAAACGTACCACTAGAACAACGCAGAACAGTCAATTCTGAGTGGTACACAACGATTTATTTGCCAGCTGTCTTCCAAGAAATTAGGAAACCAACCGCGAAAGCTGGACCACTCTTCACCACGACAATGCGAGCTCTCACACATCGGCTCAAACAACTGCATTTTGAGCACCCAAAACATCGATTTGATGAGTCATCCGCCGTATAGTCCTGACTTGGCAGCGAATGACTTCTTTTTATTCCCGTACGAAAAACAAACAAACTGAGAGGTCGTTTTCGACGCCTGAAGAAGCGGTTGCTGCATTCAGAATGCATGTTTCGGAAATACCTCAATCAGAGTGGCAAAAGTGCTTCGACAACTGGTTTAAACATGCAAAAGTGTTTAGATCTTCATAGGGAATATTTTGAAAATTAAGAAAGTGATTTTCGATGATTAATATTTGTTTATGTTCTCTAATCCTGAAATATAAAAGGCAACCCTCGTATCACATTCGACCAAAACATTTTGAATAAATAAATGTTCCCTCCCAAAATTCGTCTCTGGATCGGGCCCTGCATTATAACACTTTCATAAGTTTTCATATTCTGATCCATTGAAGCAATAAAATGCAAGTAATGCAATGTAAAGTACATTGCAGTTCCTTATTGTAAAATGTTATATATTTCACCCAGTCATAAACGTGACTGTTTTTCAACTAGCTTAAGAAACCTGACATTGTTCAAGCATTTATTTAATGAATGTATCTATTATATTCAGCTTATGTAGTCGTATTTGGAATTTATCCGGCTTGTCTATGTTAAAAATTTTAGTAGTTTAAATGTCCCCTGATCGTGTTACAGTGTGTGTGGTATCCAGTATTATCTCTACCATATTTGATAGCCATCAGTCCGAATGATAATATAATGTTAACACATTTATTAATAAGAACACATTAATAATTTGTAAATAGGTTAAGGTTTTCTTTTTCTTGCTAAATAAGAGTACATTTTATGTTCATTAGAAATTTGTAAAATTATTGTTTTAAGACTAAGCATAGTTAAGTTTCATTTGAAAACATTTTTGTCAGATAAAATAATTTTAAATGGTTAACTTGTCATCAGTAATAGGATGGAATGCAATTAAGAATATGTGAGAATTCAACAAAATGGCCATTAAAGAAACAAAAAAAAGTAAAATTTTGATAAGTTCACGAGAGTGTCAAATTATAATGCTGCCAAGGGATTATTTTTTCTTTCGTTTTTAATGTGGGCGTACGTCTTTTATTGTTTCTGGTCTCATTAGGATTAATAAAACCAGTGGCAAAGCTAGTCATGCAATTGGGTATTGTGAAAACCTTATCTTACAATTTTTTTGTAAATTAGCTCCAGTCATCGGTGTTTTCGTTCAGCAAAAACATCGATAATTTGTTCTTTATATCTGTCGTTTCTTCATAGTTAATTTAGAAGACACTGCTTGATAGCCAATGTTCGTGAATTAATGATCCTGATATTTTTCAAAGATTTTCACAAAAATGTCTTCCCTGTATTTAATGTGATCATATTCCTTCCACATTTTATTGAGTTGTATAAACAAAACTCTCTCAATAGCTTTTTTGTAGGCCAATTTGTCCAATAAATCTGCTGACATGTATTTTGCATTATCAGTGTATACATTTGTCAATTAATTTCGAAGTCACTCACTTTCCAAGAATGGATAATGTTTTATTAAGAAAGAAAACTGTCTGAAAGAAAGGGTGCGTTGTAGATGAAAAACTGCTTTCCGTCAAGAAATTCAATAAAATGGAAGTTTTCAAAATCTTCAATCCAATATTCCATCCGCGTCACTACCGTAGAAATAATATAAAAAACAATTTTGTCTTTCAAATAATTATGATTCTGAAAGTTCATTAATGATCATGTCTACTTTGATGCACATTTCAATAGTCGTTTCATGTCTATCAAGGCATATTATTACGCATCTCTACTACTTCTATACGTACGGCGAATTACTTGCCTTATGATTTCGCATTGTTGAGCAAAAACTGCATTCCGATATCGTGAACCGTTTACAAAATATGAGAGTGGCCCGTAGTGGGTGAAACATGCTCTGTAACACTAAATCTTCAGCTTCATTAATTGTTTCAAAAGTAAAATACGAACAAAAATCACAAACAACTCGCTATACTTTCCCACAACGATGAGGTGAATTTGCCTGGCCGGAACGTGGACATGCATCGCGGGAAAAGTGTGAGCATGCTAGAAGTCTAGGCTCCCTGCTATATATATGTATTAACAATATATATTATATAACGATATATATATATATATATATATATATATATCGTTACGCCCTCACGCAGTCCCGGGTCGGCGGAAATGCGCGGTTTGCTGTTCGGTGCTAGCTCAGTCGGTTCCACTGCCCTTTCCTATTTTAAAACTAGGTGATGGAAGGACTTGTAAAATAAATTCATTGACATTTAAAGAAAACAATTTGGTTACTTGTAAAGAAAAATAACATTTATTCCTGGACAATGTCTGTACCAGGGAAGTTACATTGATAAAAAATTGTGAATAAAAGATTAAAATTAAAAATTAAGAACAACTTACAACTAAAAAAAGTGATACAAAAATTATTCTAAAACTACAATTACAAGTTTGTCCCTGAGGACCTTTCTGTGCCTCAGCGTGGCACCGCTTTGACAATAGTCTCTAAGGGTTTATTGACCCTTATTGCGTTGCCTGAGAACCCTCCGTGGCAGATGTGCTCAGTAGGCCCGTGCGGGCGCGGCGGAGCTTGTGGGCGGCCGGGATGGCCATCCCATGAATGCGGTCAGGCACGCACCCTCACCAGCAGGGCGGCGGCGACGGCGGCGGCGGCGGCGGCTGGCGGCGGTCAGTGACGTCAGCGAAGGGTCGTCTGGAGGCTGCTTCGGCGGAGCTTGTGGATGGCCGGGGTATCGGCCCCCGATCACAGGTGCGGAGCACACAAAAATGTCTCCCGCTGCGTCTGCGATTCCTCTCGAATAAATTTCAGCGAATGCGAATGTTGTAGCTAATAAGCAGTGGCAAAGGATTCGCCAATCCCCCCCGTAAGTGCTTTGCATTTCCTCTCGAATATAAACTTCGAGTGAATGTCTGACCCCAGAGGTGCACCCACCTCTCTCTGAGAATGCCTCCCGATAAAGTGTCCCAGAGGTGCACTCACCTCTCTCCGCGAATGCCTCCCGCTGAAGTCTCGATTTGTATCTCCCTCAGTGAGAGGTTGATTTTCATTCCCCCACCCTTTCTCTTCGAATGTTTCAAGTTCCCTTTGACGGTCACGTCGCTATTGGCCAAAGGTGATGGCGTCTTACTCAAAATTTGGCCAATAAGCTCCGGCAGATCCTGGAAATTTTCCATTCTCTCTCTCCGTCCCTCCGTGGTGTCTTTCTCTGTCGTCTAGAAAGTAGGCCACGTCTCTGAAGGGTCTTCCCGGCTAATGAATTATTAGCTTGTGCTTCCCCGATCACGGTGACAAGCGTCGCGAAAACGTTCCGGACGGCGTCGCAGCGGAGCGCCTCACAATTCACCCTTCACTCCGGCCGTCGGGGTGCTATAAATGCCGAAGTGGGTCAGGGGGCTCGTGGCTGTCGCAAGAAGGGGGCGTGTGCGCGTGACGCCGTAGGTCCTTCCTCAGTAAAAATTCTTCCTGATGATCCGATGACTAGCCAGGAATGGGGTACCATCGCACAAGGACTGCGTCGGTAAGTAGTAGATGCTAGGTTGTACACGCCAAATTTATTTAGTGGGCGCCAAGCGTGTAACTTCCCTGCCATCTGGCTCCGGCATTGAGGACTCCAGGGGCGGACGCCCAGGGTTGAATAGATGCTTTATAATTACTAATCTACTGGTTAAACAATACATTGTTGGAGTCCTTGTTAAGTGTGACTGAGTGACGGGAACACGTTTATTAAAATCAAGAAAATTATGTTACAAAAATCCATTTGACTATTCTAATTTTACATACTCCAGCTCACAAATGCAACTTATTTTTTTTATGTAGATGGACAAACATAGGTGAAGGTGGTGATGAGCTGGTTACCTCGCCTCGAAGGAATAACGTACGCGGGTCGTTATCAGGGCAGTTCCGGTTGTGGCGTCGCGGTGGAGTGCAGCTGCAGGAAGGCCTCTTACCGGGCAGGAACCCGCAACCATTCTCGTGATGACGACTCTCAACGTTTATGCGGCAGATAGGGCTGACACACACCACCCGTCTGCGATTCATCAGCTGATATAATGGGCTGCGCACTCCTTTGTGTCTTTTAGATGCCGGCCTGACCGATCCATCGATGCATCTGAAATGCCAAGTTATGCATATACCAGTCCTCTCGTCGTCAACTCACGTCTGTCCCTTTCAAAATTCTGGTTTTGAGTTACGACTGCCTCCTTCAACGTTCTCGTGTCAATTTTTTTTTTTTGGGGGGGGGGGTTCCCTTCCGAGCGAAGTCGAAGCGTGTGATGTACGTGCGGGAGGTGAAGGAGAGAGGGGGAGAGGGCGGAGAAGCGTTGCACGCCCAAATAGCACGGTAGTTTCATGAGATTTCGTTACAGGGTTATTATTTATGAGTAAATGCTAGGAGTTTTTCTTTACATCGGGGATTCATGAAATTTTGAGGGACTGTCTTGTTGGTGTTTATGATGAGTTTGTTGTCTTGAAACCATGCAGAGTTTTGTGAGTTTATTTTTCTAATGATTGTTGGGCTTTTGCTTTGATGATTTTGTTTGTGTCATCAGCAAAAAAATATTTTATTATTCCTTAAAGCCATAGGCATGTCATTATGAATAGTATTGGCCCAGGGATGGATCCTTGTGGGACTCTACAATTTATCATCTGAGGGCTGGAGTAGTATGAGATTTTGTTTTCTTTAGTGTGGAGGACAACTATTTGGCTATGGTTTGATAAATATGATTTGATCCATTGGCCTGCAATGCCTCGAATCCCTAGCATTTCTATTTTTGTTAAAAGTATGCGATGGTCAATAATGTCAAAAGCTTTTGTCAAATAGGAAAAGAAATAAGAAAAGGCCAATGGGAATTTCCTTCTGATTTGATGCAAGAAGTATATCATTTAAAAGGAGAAGATGGCTATATCTGAGGATATATTACTCCTGAAGCCATGTTGTGCACTTGTGAGGACATTATTTGCATTGAAAACTTTTTGAGTCTATCATTGAAAAGCCTTTCCTGAATTTTTGAAAATCCTCATAAAAGGGATATGGATCATAACTATTGCCCTTTTTTCACATTGGTTTAATTTTTGCCATTTTAGATATATCTGGTAATATGCCTGTTTTTGGAGAGTAACTGCAGATATGAGAGAGTGGTTGCATTACACATTTATTACATTACATTTATCCTCCATTTGTCCAATGATTTTAAAAATTTCAGTGGGGGTGGTTTGATATAAAAATATGGAAATGACAATTTATATAACAATGACTGTGGAATTAAAATTAAAAATATTGCATTTTTAATTTTAATGACAAGATGCTATTTTTGATATCTGGTTGCATTTAAAATTCCTGCTAATATTGTGTCGCACATTGGTGCGTGTAGCTCATTGGCTGAATTGGGAAACGACGAGCAATAACTTTTTCCACCATGCTGCAGTGCACACTAAAGTACGTTTTATTTAGTCGTGCACATGACACATATCAACTGTTGCAATTTCATCCAATAGGGAGTTTATATGTCGCTATAGAAAAGTCACTATGGCGACGTTCAAGCTCCCAATTGGATGAAACCGTGAACAGCCGAGATACTTCGAGAGCATGGTTAAATACAGTATGCCGTGCAGAACGGTGCAGGAACCAGGAACTGAAACCACTAGGCGCCCCCACAAGTGGTAATACAATTGTTCGTATTCCATTCTTGATTAAACCTATGATTCAACCCGTTTCTATAAAATAGTATTTTCTTTAACACAGTAAATAACCGTCTGGCGAATTATATATTCGACCCGACCAACATTCTAATAAGAATGGCGAATATTGTAGCCATGAGACTGCTGTGTATAACTCGTCAGGTGAGTCGGAGGGCTGGTGGTAACTCGATGTCCTGACCCTTACGAAAATAACTATGTAAATTACTATACAAAAATTATGACATGCTCAGATGCCACTCAATTCATTATTTTGCGGATCAAGAAGATGGACTCAATCTGGAGGCTCTAAACCCTCTTCTAGCCCTGCACTAAATGCCCCAGGCTTAAGTCAAGCTTGCATTTTGCCAGCATCTGGAGGTAAGTTACATAGTAGCTCCCATTCATTCTCTAATGAATCAGATTGTTAGTTTGGGCCAGAAAAGTGTGTTGAATACCCTTGCGATTTGTTTATGCAGGTGGGAGATAAGTTGCAGGTTTCTTCAGTCAAACTTCAAATGCAATGTCCATTTAATTGAATTGAACATAATATTCAGTACACTATACTATATGTTCAAAATTCTTTCAAATTCAGTTAACCTTCATACTGTTGTGAGTATTTCACAAATGTTTATTTCCATCTGAAATATGGCATATTATGGGGAAACATCCTACAACTGCTAGACTTTTAATTACAAAAAAGAATTGTGAAAGCTAATTCCTGATTCTTTTAAAAAAATCTAGATTTACGATTCAGTGGATTTTGCCAAATTTATTTATGAAAGATATTTTGTAATGTGTGTTATATCATATAAATATATTCATAAAACATGAAATAATTTTAGAATTCTCTATTTATTTGAAATTATAATATAAATAGCGCGATTATATAATACAAAGGTTCATGTAACACAAAGAAAAATGATCAAAACTCAGGGAAAACCTAGATTAAAATACATTTTGAATTCTGGCAGTCACCATGAATAACAATTTGTGGAATTTTGTTTGATCTCTATTCAGGGCAACTACTCAATTAAGAGCTTGTTCATAGAAATATTAATTTTAACAATGATCATTCATTAATTATTCAACTATATGTAGTAAAAGTATAGGGAAGAGATTCTGGAGCTCAAGAAACTGTGCACACATACACTCACATACAGTTTTTTACTGTTTTTCGGGGAGAAACTTCACACATACACACACACATACTAGGAAGGAGTGTTGCAGAAATAGAACTATATACCAGACAAAATAAGAAGGGCTTGCCTCTTGAAGCTTGAATTAAAGAGCATTTTCTCTCTCAGGAAAAACAACCTTTCAATCAGAATCTTTCTTAAAATGTATCTTGCATGATATTTCAAAACTGCAATCTTAGTTCTACAACCAAACTGAATTATGTTTGTTCCAGAGGTAGGACCAGGAGCATCCAAGGATGGAAATTACAAGAATCCGGAATACTTTTTATACCACAATACGTCCTACTTTGAAGCAGAAATTGAAATGGCCAAATTCAGGTTGCCACAACCTTCTAGCAAAAAAAGTAAAAACTAAATAGAATTTGGTTTTGAATAAAAATTTAAATACACAAATGCAAGTAGCCCAGCAAGAAATTAACCTGTTTTATCTGAGAATAAATTTGTTGTAAATAAATGTAAAATGGAAATAAATAGTTGTAGATATTGTAACATAAAATACTTGAAATTGCAATATTACTTGTTCACATCCCATATGGAAGTAATACTTGTTGTATACTAGGCAATTTGGTGTTGGGAATTTTTAAACGGGAGTATAACATTAACAGCTACTACGATTCATTGTGTTGATTCATTGGTAAATCCAATGCTACATATGAAAGAAATTTTCAACTCCTGAAAATACTTATAAAACAGTTCACAGCGTTGGTGATGCCACATTTAACTACTTACTAATAATAGCCTGATAATCATATCAATACAGTTTGAAATTAATTATTGAATATATGCAAAAATATAAATGTTATGATTAATACTATTTGTAAAAGTAGTAACTGGCAGGAAACTGCCAACATACAATTTTAATTGAAATTCCCTAAAGATGGCAAGGCTTTCCTATTCTGCTGTAAGTTAAAGATATGAAAATGTGATCTGATTTCTTTTAAAGTTTAAAATAATCCATGGACGAAGGGTTGTTCACAATTTGCCATCAAAATTTTCAAGATAGAATAATTTCATGCAACTGTTTCCGATTGGTCTATGTAGTAGTAATTTGTGTTGACAGAAAATTCACCTTCCAACACACATTTTGTACAAGTTCACAAAGAATGGTAAATGCTGCAAATGAATTAACTTAAATGCCCATTGCTACTGAAGTATGATGCAGCAGTCCCTTGTGTAACACTGAAGCCAGCACACTCTCTGCTATTTGTTATGGTAGTGCTAGTAGAAATGAGAGATGAAAGGAAAAGTCAAAATTAGCAAATATCTTAATGTATTTAAAATGGTACAATTCCACATAAAACTTGCTAATACAATGAAGTAAAAACCCATTAAAAAACACAGATCTTGTATGCATGTGAACTATCCACAAAATTCTCACTTCTAGAGTACTATACATTTCTTCACAAAGTAAAGTCAAATTCCTCAAAAGATGAACGAAAATTGTTAGTCATTGTGGTCTCCTCTTCTTTCGACACTTTACAATCTTTCCAGTCACTTCTATCTGGCATGTTCAGTACATATTCACTTGCTAGAACATCTCTGAAAAGAAATACGATTTTTATTATCCAAGAAATATCTCTCTGACCTTCCCCTTGTTCATAAAGAACATTTTGTATGTATGTGTTTATATTTATATTTATATTTTTGTGATTCCATCAGTCATACAGGTGAATGCTGGGATGGTTCAAAAAAGCCCATGATATTATCTCATCATCATCCCTTTATCTCATAATTCAAAGTTTAACAACCCTGTGTTACCAAGGGATACAGCTGAAAAGCTGATCCTTATTAATGACATGTAAATCTCTCCAGGATAGAATAAGAACGGGCTCGAAAGAGAATGTGTGGCCACAAATGGCCCATATGCAAATAATAATACTAAAACTAGTTCCAAAAACTTGATAAGTTTGAGGAAAACAAGCAAATAAATTAATCACTGAATGCAACTAATAATGTAGGAACTTCAAAACAATTGACAACACATTGATTTCTATCTTTTTCTTAATAAACTTTTCTTATCTACACCCTCCTCAGGTATGAGCAATCTAGAAAAGTGACATTCTGTAGCCGTACACATTAGTTTATAATAAAATAATTGTCATTTGGTTCCTAGTGAAAGAAAGTATTTTTATCGTATTTTGAAGATTAATTGCTATTAAAATATTGTAAAATCTTTATCAAATTTACATACCTTCCGAACTGCAGTGGGAATGATTTTTGAATTCTGTGGAACAGTTTATCACCATCAGGCAGTTCAACATAAAAGTATGGAGTGCCAGCTGGAGCTATCTGACTTAATTTTGCATATTCAGGCAATTCATCCAAATGAAAACCTTCAGCTTCAGCCTTTTCCTAAACACAAGTACACAATGCACAAATAGAAGTAGCATTTTATGAAAAGGAGAACAGTATTTACTTGTCCAGTGGAGCAAACTAGAATAACATGTTTATTTTTCTTTCCGACTGTAGAAGTATAAACTTTTATAGGTTCTACCTGGTCATTATTTTTATTGACAATGTGTGCTTCTCTATTTCCAACATATTATCTAAATACTCACATATTGGGTTTGCCCATTAAGTTAAATAAGTAGGACACCCATGTCCTTAGAAATTTACAAATTTCTGAAAGTTTTCACACACACAAAAAAACAAAAAACAATAAAATTATTAGAGTTGATAAGGTGTTGCATATCTGGCTGTTGATAAAGAACAATACACAGTACTCGCAAAGTAGAAGTGAATTTCCTTAATATGGACTAATTTGCAATGGTGAGAGCACCCTCTACATATAAATGTATGAAAAATATTCAAGATATTTTACAATGATGGAAGGCAAATACATTCCTAACTAATAAAGAATATGCCAAAGTCTAACCTACAACAGCTAATATTGCCTTAGTTTATGGCTTTTTAAGAGTGTATAAACCAGAATTTCCAATGCATCCTATTGGATCTTGTTCAGGTACTTCTAATTATGCTTTTTGTAAATATTTAAATTCACTTTTAAAACCTATCTTGGAGGACAATTATAAATATTCTGGACACAATAGTTTTGAATTCGATCGTAAGTTGTGAGAAATGACCGTAATTCAAGAATGGTATCATTAGACATAGTAGCAATGTTCCCCACTATGTTCTCAGCCCTGTGAACTGTTCTACCCCAAGATCAAATATATGGTTTAGTACAAAACAGAAAACAAAACAATACAAAACAAATGGTGCTATAACAGCACATACTTTCTCGCAATATTTCAGTGTTATTATTACGTACAGCGGGATAGCCATATGTGTTTCATAAATTTCAAATAAAAATTTTATGAAAACCCCAACTTTTGCAAAAAAAATTGTACATTACCATTTTTAAAGACCTAATTTTGTAAAACAGACATTGAGGTGAAAATCACTATGTTCAGTTTTGACGGAACTAAGGCGGAAGTTAATGAAAAATCATATTTTTATTATGGACTTTACAATATGCTAATTATCAAATGAACAGAAATTCAGTGATTTTGTACAGCATATTAGTGCATTTTGTGTCAATGCATCATATTTCCGTTATATTTAAATTATTATTAATATTTTATTGCCTTTTTGTTATTAATGTGGCATATTTCTCTTGGAATTTCAAATAATATGCTAAGTCTCCTCAAACAGAAAAGTGTACTTCAAAAATGTGAAGGCGTTCAAAAGACAAATCGTGGGAATGTCTTTTGTACGTTGCAGCTGAACTTTTAGATGATATGATGGCCCTGGTACCTGGAAACAATTTGTCTGATTATGAATGATGGGATAATTTATTCCTTATAAAGAAATTGTGGCATTGATTTTGATACTTGTATGATGATACAGATAAAATCATAGCTGGAATACTAAGTGGAGACAAAAGTGCAAAATTAATTGTTAAAATTAAAAAGTTTCTGGTACATGAATACATAAACTTAATTGTTAGAGCATATTAAATTAATTCCGGTGCAAATTTTACAAATGTTAGAGCATTTTGGCATGCGTATTTCACCTTTGGATACAGCTGTAACTTTCGGGCCTGACTTAATACATATGTGGAGAAAATTTAAAGAAAAAATTTGAAGCAATTGTTTCAGGGGAATTAAAAAGAAACATAAATTTCAAGCGCAAATTATACAAAAAATATTCATGTTTTCAAAAACCATTTTTAAAGATCTAATTTTGTCCAATGAACTTGGTTTAAAGCAAAAATCTCTATCTTCAATTTTGTAGTTTTAATTTATTTATTTTTGTTGCAATTTTCGAAAGACTAACAATACCCAAAAATGGGACTAGCAACATACTTTTTATCGTCCCTTATTACGCAAGTGGACAAAATTGAGAAAAAAAATTAGGAGCGTTCTTTGAGAAGAATCTTTTTTGTAAATTTCAAGTGCAAGTTACTGATAAAACTACTCATTTTTTCAAAGAATAGTATGTAACCTTTTATAAAGAGCTAATTTTGTACAAAAAACTTTGTCTCGGGCAAAAATCTCTATCTTATTTTTTGGGGCCATTAAAAGGTTATATTTGTGTTTTTAGTCAACAAGGAATAAGTTTTTTCTGGTTCATATAGTTACATAAATGGTTATTTTTGTAAATATTGACTTAATTTTGCATTGATTTCCTTTAAATATTATAAATTTGTGGGTGGACAGACGTTTTGTCATCCATCGATTTTTCGATATGAAAGATGCACAAAATATAGATTCTGGCTACACCATGTGTTAGGGGACTTTTTTCTTTGCTATATTTTACATGTTTTGAAAACAAGTGGCGCGACATTTGGAGCAGAGAGTATGACTAGGAACGAGTTTTCAAATTTTTTCGACTGCAACAAAGCGAGTAGCATACGCTATTATATTTTGCAAAAAAGCATTATAAAGGTGTAAAAGAAACAAAATTAATTTTGGAAACAAATTTCAAAGCCAGTTTTGCGTCCTTATTCCATTCAAAAATTGTTCCCAATCTTATTGTTATGAAGTCTGCACTGCAAACTATCCTCGTTTTATCGTAAATTTTAATATGTAACAGAATTACCATTAATACAACTCGTTTTTCTGCTGTATAATTATTATTTATTGTAATGTGTGTGGTGGCGGGAGGTCTGGTCACAAGCGTTATGTAATTATTAGAGGGGGTTACAGGGGGAGAGGCAATATTTAAAACATGCCAAATTTGCGTTACGTAAGTTATGGATGGCCCCTAAAAGACAAGCATTGGAAGAGGACCAAAAAGAAAGAATCAGTGATTCATATCATGATGAAGAGAGAAGTGACAAAACCATGATTATGATGATTTTAAGAAAAAAGTGATAGTTCAGGTACACAAGTTTTAACATTTTCACCAGTAAGACCATTTTCGGGTCAATAAGACAAATTGAAATTTAATTTGAGAAATTTTACGAATTAGTTGAAAATTTTTTAACAAGGAAGTCTCTCCAAAATTAAGGGGTTGTCTAATATTCAGGTAAATATGGTAATTTCACTTTCCCCATGGACTCCATCACTCAAGTTTATGGCATCACGTTTATCATCATTCAAGTTTAAAATCAAAATGAAACACTTGCTCTGGCATTATAACCAACAGCAATTTCAATTATTTTTTTAAATCCCTGACTATCAATTCAAAATGTGTGCATACCTTTATATAAATATAATTGTAAAGTATATCATGAAAATTTGCAATGACTACCATACCTGAAACTCATTTTTCAATCTTGGTAAAAGTTTTGATGATACAGGCACAACTTGAATCTGTAGGTGTGAAGTCTTGTAATTTCTCTCGAATATCACAGGAATTTTGCCTTTCTGTCTAAAGTATTTTGAAAGAGCCAATTTAAATATGTTCTGTGTTAAGGAACTGCCTTATTTATTCAGAAATAAAAGATATTATTTCGATTTTCAAAATTAAATCAGAAAATATATTTTGATTTTTCACCAAGTTCTTTGAAACTAATACATTCACATTCATTTCTGATAGCTAAAATAGAAAGTAAACACATTCATAAATTGTGAAAAATTAAAATGTTATTCATGTGAGAAATTAAATAGTTGGTTTGAGAATGTTGCAGGTTCAGACATCTAAAAAATGATTAAACAAGAATGGATTCTCAAAACGAAAATAAAACAAAAAACGATTTCAAAAACCAACATATTTATAATTTACTAGCAGAACCTGGCTTTGTCTCTATCCCTCTCTCTCATGCCGCCTGCTCTGTCCTCCTCAGTCCCATACTGCATTACACAGCAACAATGAAGCCCAGGTGGAGCTCAGTGGAAATGGAAACTGAATTAAAATAAAGCACCATCTAGTGGAGTTTAAACAAAATGAACAGCATAAAAACCTTCTGTGAAAAAACATGTAGATGTGCGAAGTTTCATGGAGATTAGTCACACAGTGTCTGAGTTTACCACTCTAGTACAACATCCATTTTCATTTATAGAGATAAGAATACCTCTTTATGGTAACAAGTACACTACCTGAAATAATTGGAAGTAAATTTTTGAAAGGCTTCCTTTTAGTATATATTTGTAATAGTACACATGCCTTTCTTGCATCAGCCCCATTTAAAATGGTTTATTGGAATGTTAGTACTCTTGTACAAATTTTATCTTTAGTTTGTATTTTCTGTAAAACCCTCCTTTCTTTATGGTGTTTTTATTCTTCACACCTTCCAACCTAATAAATTAAACAATTACAGTGAAACCTCTCTGAAAGATCATCCTTATTAACAGTTGTGCACAGAAACAATTTCCATACCTAGAAATACCAATGGGAATCACTAGTGGAACCCAGAACAAATTGCAATATTATTAGGATAAATTTTATAAGTAGTAAAATACATGTATTTAGCAAAATATTACAATCACTTCTCTCCTTTTTTGTTGTCTGGAGGAGAATTCAAGTAGCCAGCTGCTCAGATCGGTAATATTCCATGGTTTTTCTGATCAATACTGGGTGAATGCCGAAACAGTAGCCTAACAAACAGGCCATGGACTACGCGATCTTTCCTTCCCCTTCCTCACACACACAAAAGCAGAGACAAAAAGAAGCAGGAAGAAATGAAATGAAAACTTCATCAAAATGTTTCAGTTCTCACTTCAGAAAAGAAAGATGATTCCCCTTCTAAGCAATCACCCATTAAGGATCATTTTTCATGGAATCAACAGTGATCACTTGATACAAATTTTCTCTGTAATCTCAAGAAGAGTCAATCACATTTTATTAAAACAAAGGATACTGTTCAATTTCTTTAAGAACATTATCAGGCACACATGATGATGACTGATGGTGACCAATAGGTAATATTAATACATGATCAGGGACCAAAGCTCCTTTTGCAACTGCCAAATACGCCTAGAATAATGTAAATTATCATAATTATAACAAGGTAAAGAAGAGTAGAAAAGAAAAAAGAAAAAAATTAAGATGAGATAGAACTTAAAATTGGGAATGTAAAATTTTTTTTGAATTCACAACTACTTATTATATTTTTAGACTAAAGGAAAATATTTTTTGAAATAAATGAATTGTAATATATTGTGATCAATATATTGTTTATATTGTGATCAATATATTGTTTCATACATTTTGGTTCAAATCTAATCAAATCACTTTGGATTGTGATAAAATCTCCAGGATATATAGCTGACATAATGAAATAATATCTTTGATTGAGAACAGTCTTTTGCAGTTAAGAGTCAATAACTACTTGGCTGCCTGGGAGATGATGCAACTTAGACACAGGTGCCACTGTTTTGGCTGCCCTTCTGTGTCCTCAATGATGCCACCAGTGCCTAAGGTCATGGAGTCTCCCAGACAGCCAAGTAGTTAATAATAATTTTGACGTTTAAGATGTTAGCTGCTTTTACTGAACATCAATAATGACAAAATAAAGTATATGCTGTTAAACATTAAATAGTTATTAAAATTAAAAATTGGCATTTATTTCCAAGAATTTGATGAACAACATTTTGTTCGTAATCTGAAAAAAAAATGGTTGCAGAAGTCTCAATCAGTGAGATTTTATTATTACAGTGCTGGTGTACAGTCTATAAGTTATGATTACGTTCAAAATATATGACAAATATTACAAAATAAAACAAAAATTTGACAATATGAATTTCATACAACTTCAAACATAACTGAAAATTTCATTACGTAGGTTATGTTCCAAATATTATGCACAACTCATTGAAGAGTATAGAGCAGAATCTGATTTATAAGCCTTTCACATCTAAAAATAGATAAAACACACTTCTTTATAAGAAAAGATTTTTATAGTTGGGGAAAAAAATTCTCCCCCCACCCCCATACACTTTTTTCCCTTCTTCCTTCTTATTGAAGGATACTGTTCATTCTTTCAAAGCTGGAACTACACAGCAATGTTAGGTTAATTTAGGTGGTATCATGTAAATAGAAATTTACAACCATCCCAATGGAACTCAAAACTAAGCATCTTGCCTTTTGCTTGCATTAGAAACTTTCCACCAGCAGCATGACTTCCATTTATTGTACAATTGGTTATTCCTACTCCAAAAAAGGAACAGAATTTATGCGTATATATTCATGGCGTATATATTCATGGAATTTATGGCATATATAAAAAAAGTAAAATATGTACGTATGTATGTAATGTTTAAAATTCCTGTCCACTATAACCATTTTCTGAACCCACAACGTTAATGATTCAATCTTAACATGGATTCACAGAGACCGAACGAAAGTTCTACAGAACTAACTGTACACTAGTTTCCTTCGAAATATAAGATATATTTGTAGAATATAAAATATTTGTTTATGAGGAGATGATGCTCAAGTATGTAGTTGTACCATGTAACAAGTGATTGATCTCAAAGGGGGATTAGAGGGGGGAGATCCCAAAGTGGTAAGATAATGATCTGTAAAAATGTTTGTTAGTTTTTGATACATGGGGCCTGTGAACCATGAGCAAGCATGTGGTAGAATTTACTTCTGCTTGATAAACCTCCACTCATCCTGATTCTGAGAAGGTGTTTTTCAAGGAGTGAGGGGATGGGAAGGGGGGATAAGTTTGACAGTTCCTGAAGATCAGGTGGTCATATAAGCGCTTGGGATTGCTTCTGTGACCATTGAAAGATGATTTCAATTACATATATTGCAAACTTGTATCTAAAATATTCCGTTTCAACATATAAATACATTAAAATGTAAAAATATGAAATATGTAGAACTAGGTAAAATAAGTATACCAAGATATCTAAAAATATGTCAAATGAAAATGGATTTAATTCATTAAAAATGTCTAGTAAACTATAAAAAATATTACTGAATGCAGGTATCTTGTTCTTGTAAATTTACATGAAAATCCGTTCCCTACTCATTAGATAATGCATTCAACCCCCCAAGTATTTTGAACTGGTTAATGTGCACTTCATATGGCTTAACTCTTAAAGTGTTTCCAAGCTGTTCCTACTTCACACTTTATTCCATTTTGAATAATATCTATAATAAAAGCATATTTGAACAGAAACCTGCCAATAGCCAGAATGTTTTGAAAAGGCAGACAAAGTATTTCTAGTACCATAAATCTTTTTGGCAGTAATTTAAATAAAATTGAATTAAATTTTTACCTATTTAAAACTGGGAAGTATTATTGTAATAATTGTGGTAGAAATTAATATCTAGTTATTTTTAATTTAAAAAATGAATTTGTATAAAAATAGACTTGGATAATTATGAGAAAAGACAAATATTAAAAAATATAATGAGAGGAGAAATTTGAAAAATGTGACTAAATATCAGAAATATGATCCACAAGCAGAAGCAATGCTTCTTTACACTGTTCCACATTTCCCCAAAATATTGAGACACAAAAGCATGAGATGCACTATGGGCTTTGATCCCTTTGAACAGCTTTGATCACTTTCAGTTTTTTATGTGACATTCCGTTACACTCCCTCAAAGAACGCATAACATCTTCATCACTGAATATTTCCAACACTATTCCTTCAAAATAATTAACAATGTTTATAAAGCTGGGATAACAAATGATCAACAATGTTCACATTAATTTGATCATCAAGTAAAATATCCTCTCTCAGTGTTTAAATTCAAGGAATAATGATACTCTTATGATTTTTTTCTTTCATTAAAAAATTAATCACTTAAAGATAGATTAAAGAAATGGAAGAGCATACCTCACTTCCAATACTGACGATTAGATGTTTTTCAACTTCAGGACTTGCTAAACAAAACCAACATAATGCTGCAACATAAACATACTGTGTTATAAAGGGAATTTTACACCAGTTACATTTAAAAATTTTATGAAATAAATTAATTGTTAAATAAAATCTATTGGACTTGCTAAATTGAAATAAGCTTACAAGTATTACTTCTACAAGTGCCACTTCGATATTACTAAGTAATTATTTTCAAATCTTACATTCAAAGTAAGTATTTTTATGATTGTTTGTTAATTATTATTATATTAGCTCCTGTAAGCATTTGTAATTTATTTTACTTGTCATTCCCACCTTGATCAAATACAGGTGGGGGTCTGCGTTTTGGTTTAAAATCATCATCTCTTTTATGTCGTTTTCTTCTGGTAAAATCACCATTGGTATTGTCCATGTCATAAAAGAACTGAGTCTGTTTTACCTACACACCAATCACAATTATGAACAAATATTATGACATTACAGTTGCTGTCTAACATCAATTATAAAAACATCTGAATACTGAACAAAATCAAGGATGTGATGCATGATCCTCAAAACCCACATTTTGGTTCAAAGAAAATTTGGTCAAAGCATCAAAGTATATATGTTTATTCAGAAATATGTGAACATGATAACATGGATCGAGCACTTTGTTGCTTTCAGGAAATTTCTTATACACTTAAGATCTTAATTTTAAGTATTACTTTAATCCACCTATGGTATGTTGTAATTTTTTTCAAGTTAATAGATTGATGTTTAACAAACTTATCATGTGTTTCTAATGACATGTTTACATAGATATATTCAACCTTATATATAAAAAAGTACTGTTTATCTTTCCTTTACATGAACATAAAGATAAAGGCAAAATGCAAATAATCATGGATAGTGACAACAGATGAAGTAAAAATAAATAGAGGTTTTTCAACTACTAACCAGAAGGCAAACTAGTCATAAGTTTTTGTTGATCTTGTTTCAACTGACTTTTAATGTAGACAATATTCCAGTGAAATGCAATACAATAGTTTTTAACTTATAACAATGTGTTTACAATCCTGGACCTGGATAAAAGTTTTTTGAAAGAGACCCCAGTAAGGTTCAAAACATCATTAAAAAAAACTATAAAAGTACTTTTAGAAAGGTGAGAAACAATTAACTTCAATAAAGCCTTGTATTTTAACTTTTCAAAGACTTCCTATCGCTACATCAAATTGCAAGACTTGAGAAAAGTATGACCGTACGTACCTCCTAAAGGATACCCGGTTTTTAAAGTTACTCTTTTTAAGTTATATTTTCTTCCCCTAACTATTCTGTATTTAAAAATGAACAAAGAAATAATGATGAATCACTTAGTTCATTTTCTGCAGATACAGGCAATAAGAATACCAAAATCAATAAATTGTTATTTGTTAGGTTCTTGATCTGAACAATCTGCAGAAGCCAAACCTGACTTATCGCTTTCTAACTAATTCTCATTAAATGAACAACACTACACAGGAGAAGATTTGAGTTTAAATATAAGATTTAAGTATATGTATTAGCTACATATTCAATAAAAAAAAATAGAGATAAGACTTTTTATTCATCTTTAAACTGACAACCGTCTGTCTCATTTAACTAAATGTGAGTTTTCAGGTTGATGTATCACACATTAGCAATTAAATGGAAAATAAACAAATTAATTTTTATTTTACAAGTTCAGAAAGTGGTAGGCGAGTACTTACTTCTGATTGTGGTCTCACTATTTGTAACAACATTTCCATTCCATAGGGACATTCCGTTTCATCTGTAGTCTGTTGATACAATACATTGGATTTCATCCTGTCTATGGGATCAATGTTTAGAGCATAAATCCACTTATCTTTCTGAGGATTTCCAACTTTTGCCAGAGCAATGAATCGTGTAGCATGAGAAGGTGTATCTCCCAATTGACTGTGATTTCTAATGGAAAGTAACATGGTTGTTTACATTTAAGTACGCATACACTCTGTTTCTTTCACTTTTACATTTATTATAAAATAAATCAGTGGTGTTACAGAATGGCACAGACTTTCTCGTGTTTAGTTTTTAATTAGTTTTTTAATTTCTTTGGTCTCTGCTAACTTTTCGGACTTGCCACATTGGTTTGCCAGCTGCCATCAATGCTGCCCAAAGAACAATTTTTTTGCATTTTTTCAATTTTTCAGTTTCCTAATGGTGCAACTGAAATATTACTCTAAGAATATAATAGAAGAGTGTATTGTCCTATAAAAACAATGTAAAAAACTTCGGATCCATTTTTAAGAAAATAAGCGTTTAAGGGTTTCTGTAAATGCAAAATTTGAAGGTTTTTCCACAAAACTTTTTTGAGCCTTCGATAAATTATTGGAAGTCATCTGAGCTCGTCCATTCACAAATGCTATAAAGTATATAGTGTTGAAAATCTGCATATTAACGGCGTGAGAGATATGTAAAAAAAATTACATTTGTGTAATTTTTTAAAAACAAAATACAGCATTTTACCTTAAACAGTGTCACCTTAAACAGTGTATCTGTATGAAAAGTTTGAAGAAATAATTTGGAGCTTTTTGGAGAAAATGGCATTTGTGCAATTCTGAAAATGGGAAATTTTGAGCAGGTTTTCACAGAAAAGTTTTGAGTTTTTGAGCAACTTTATAAGATAGCACTTAAAGCACATGTACTCAAAACTGTGAACAAATCTCTGGTAATGTAAATATTAATGATGTGAGAGGCTAGTCAAAAAAATTAAATTTTTGTAATTTTTTGAAAGAAAAAAGTATAGTGGCAAAATAGGGTTTATTCATCTCAAAGAGTACATTTAGCAATATACCTACCAAAAGTTAAAAGAAAAAATGTAGCGCCATTTTTGAGATAATCACATTGTTGTTATGTTTTAAAATTGCACAAATTGCACGCACTATTGCAAAAACTTCTAAAATGTTCTAAAAAATATACATGATATTAATGAGAAAACTAATTATGGAGAACAAATTTTATTTGAAGGAAAAATCTCTATATTCAATTATGTGGTTGTAGGAAGACGCTGAAAACAAATTCAAACTTTTTCAATTTTTGAAAATTTAGAGTTAAAAGTGAAAATTGGATCTATGCCACCTTTAAAAGTGCACTTTATATTCTCCTCACAAGAAAATTAAAGAAAAAAATTTGGAGTCATTTTCGGGAAAATTTTGAAAATGTCCCTGGGGTTTCTTGTAAAGAACCCTCAAATTTTAAAGAATGTTTTTCAAAATTGCAGCACTTCAAGTGAAGCCAGATCAACAAGGGAATATCCATTTTTGAAAAAATTCTACATATGGTTCAAATGCTAGTGGTGTTCACAGATGGATGGCCGTTTTGCCGTCAATCAATTTTTCAGTATCAAGGACCCACAAAACATGGATTCTGACTACACCACATGTTAGAGGATTTTTTCCCTAAATTTATCAACTTTTTCTATGTCAAGGTAATAACAGCTTTTCTGCTGAAAATTCCACTGTTTTTACCCTGCAGCATTACATAACTTTCACTCTTCTGCAAAGCGACAGTGACAGTGGCCATAACAGTTAGGCTCAGAAGGGCTGCAATGCAGGGGGGCCCAGGTAAAAGAAGGTATATTTTTATTAATTATGGCACTAACACTACTTGTGATTGCTATACACTTTTATAAAGGCGCCTGCATAAAAGTTTTGCAACTCATTTCGTTATGCTACTGGGTAGTGAGAGTGTAAAAATAATTTTCCATAATAATAATTTAAAAAGCAGTGCAGTTGTTCAAAAATGGTTTAAACGGGAAAAAATTCCATTAAATTAAACAATTCAGTGAGTCATGGGCAGGTTCACCAATCAAGCACAATACACAAGCATATTATTTTATTCAGAAGTACAGAACTGACATTTCAGCAGAAAGAGAAGAATGGGAGAACAATATGAAGACCTGACTTAGGCCTACACTTCCCTTTGAAATTCGACATGAATGGCTAGAATGGTGAATAATGACCATAAAGGTGGAAGGCAAGATGTTTGCAATGCATTAGACAACCTTAATTTTGGCCTTTCTAAATAAATAAAATATGCATACCTGTATGGACGTCTTTCATAGAAAATGCCTTCTTGAGCACAGAAATGGTATCTTGGCTTTATTTCAGAAGCTAGCCATGACAATAAAGGAGAACCATTTGGATGCCTCATACCCTGCAACCGAGTTAATAATCAGTAAAGAGCAGACTCATAAGTTGATACTCGAAATTGGCAGAACTCTAATTTCCAAAAACAAGGAAGTACAGTTTTAAGTAATAATCTGCTACCAACATATATAGACTTTTCTCTACATGTGTGGTCAATCTTTTAGCTCCTTACAAGCCTCATTTATTCTTGTTTTGTTTATTTTGTCTATGCTCTGAAAACCCTACTACTTTTGTTTACTTATATCCTGACATCGCAATTTGTAGTATATTTGCCTTGTTATGGCTCCAATGAACAGCGCTTTCCAAAGATGTTGCTCAACTTTTTCTCTTTGCAACTACTGGGTTCAAAGATCCTAAAATGTGTAGTTGTGTGCAGGGTCACATAACTTCAGCTCCTCCTATAAATTTTGAACAGTTGAAGTTATTGCAGTTCTCATGGAAGTGTGCGAGGGAACGAGGCTCATTGATACATGTATTCATTTCTATTTTAAAACTTGTATTTTACGAGATATTTGAGGCAATACTGTTTTCTTCAAATGGAACTATACATATTTTTGCAGTCTATCATGATGAGCGTAAAATGACAAATCCAATGACATAAATATTGGAATATGTTAGATAAGCATTTTTTTGAGTAATTTTGATTATTTTGCACCTAGTGTTTTACATACATTCCAAATATTTACAAAACTGTTGCAGTGTGTTTAGTTTCAAGTTTCCATTAATATATTTCCACCATAATATTCTGTGGTATGATACTGCTTTAAATGCTGGAAATACCAACTTGAAATTTTTACCGTACATTATCTGTACTATTGTTGTACTGATCTACATTGCAAATAATTGCTTGGTAGTAAAATGAAATATAATTTTTTTTTCAAAAATGTAATGACAAATTAATTTACAAATTTGATACAAATAATGTTAACTTCACAAATGTAGATCCCCAGCTTCACTTGTTGAGTAATCTGTGAAGGAATCAATAAAATGGGTGCAATAGTTTACAAGAAAATGAGGCATTTGTAATGAAAAACTGTGTTTTGAGAAAAATGCTCCTAAAGTTTTACTAGAAATTACCCAGCATATTTGTTGTGTTATAGAAACAACCTGCTCTATATCGTGAATTATGCTCATTGTTGCTGATATCTAGAAACTGTTTTCTCCTCTTTTTCTGGCTTATTTGGTCATTTTCTCAAATGAGATCTCTGTTTTGGGGCAGGGGACCTTGTCTGGATCAATTCTGGAGTTAAGATTTTCATTACTAAACATATTTTCTGCATTATATACATTGTTAATGACAAAGGTCTTAAAGATTGTGTATAGTTTCAGAACTATGTCTGTTTATGTGAAACCACGGAACTTCAGAAAGTCAGCGTGTCTGTGTTGATACACCTTCAAAACAAATTAAATTATCAAAAAACAATTTTTCAATGAACAATATATCAAAATGTTTAGAAAAGTCTAGAGATTATTTTAAGATTGAGAAACAAAATTCAATATTTTTCTTATTTTTTGAGTGGAATCTCACCTTAATACTTTCAGCTTCAGACTACTTAATATTAGGATAGTTTTCAAATACAATTAGAAACTTTTTATCAGTGATCATATTCATACATAGAACATAGCAAGAAAATAGAGCTGGATTAAATTATTTTTAATTTTTGGAATGTTATGTATTAGAGTGTTCTCTACCGAAGCTGACATACTGAATAGAGAAAATGGTAGCTCCCAGAGCTCCCATGCACTGGGTTGATTCAAATTGTTCAGAAACAAGGGACACTGTCACCCTTTCATTACAGCACTATGTAAAAGCCAAACCACTGCGTATTATGTTCCTTTACAATTATCTAAATAATCATTTGTCATTGCTACAAAAATTGGTCTTGTACTTAAGTTACATATCTAATGAGGAATATGGAACTAAAACACGGGACTATAATTTAAATATATATTAAACTTTTTCTTGATTAGCTGGACTCTGAAGGCATAGACAGCTGAGTCAGCAATCATATTTTTGCAGTTCAACATGTTGTAAATGCATACTTTTTTAAGGCATCTATGGTTCCTCCACATAATTCTGATGCCCAAGAACGAATACCGAGTTTGGTTACAATCTACCAGAGAAATGGCGATAAAAAAAAATTAATTGAGCTAATTATACAATTTATCCAACAAAGTTCAAAAATAATTATTTTAGAGAAGTGGCTCTAAATGAACATTTGCAGAAGAAAAGAACAATCATCATGTGTCACATTAAAGCAATGAGCATTTATCAATTTTCTATGGTTATTTTCAGTCTCAAAATACATAATGGGAAGTCTTTATTTGGAGTTACTTTAACTCTCTCAAATGTAATTGAAAATATTGCCATTAGCACCTCTGATAAATAAAATTTGGGGGAACAAAAGCAAGTGGTTTAAATGCTAGTATCTTCAATGAATTTTGTTTCATTTGATCAGGTACTTCTACCAGCAAACAAATGTAGCACTCAGTATTGAAACTTAGACATAAATATTTTTCGTTTTACAAGACATGAATCTGCATAAAAGGTGGGATAACCTAAGACATTTAATTAACACTCAGAATTATTGAAAAACAATAATTTTTTCAGAATGAAATCGTAAACCTAATTAAAGACTACAATGTTAGTGTCCTGAAACTACATATACTGTACTTCCAATGTTATTACGGAAAGAATTTGCGGCGGCGATGGTGTAACGGTTAGCGTACTGGACTGTTGTACCCAAGTTGGCAGGTTCAAACCC